AATCTTCAGGATAACCTGATTTGTTCTAAGCTTGATAGATTTTTTAGTGTCACTAGATTGGGAAGAGCATTGGACAGGCTTGCTAGGAAGAACTTTGCCTAGAATTACCTCAGATCATTGGTTGATTTTCTTGTTTCAGAGAACTGATGGGGGCCCGACACCTTTCAGATTTGAAAACATGTGGCTTACCCATTTGGAGTTCAAGATAAGGTCAAGGAGTGGTGGGATACTCAGATTCAGCTACAACTTTGGGAGGCCAAAAGTTTTTACAAAAGTTGTGGTTGCTTATAGAGAATAAAAGAGTGGAATAAAGTGAAATTTGGGAGGCTAGAGGAAAAGAAGGCTGAGTTGATTTCTCAAATTGAGGAGATTGAAAGGAAGGAGGTGGATGGTTCCTTATGGACCTTATCACATAGTGATACAGATTTAAGGTGGTCTTTGAAGAAGGATTTAGAGGTTACCACTTATCAAAAAAAAAAGATTTAGAGGTTACCCTTTTAAGAGAGGAAAATTGCTATAAACAGAAATCTAGAGAGAAATGGACCAACGAAGGAGATGGTAATACAAGATTTTTTTGAGGAAGAGTCTAATTATTTCATTATGTTTGAGGGAGACTGAGATCAGATATTAAAATGAGATAGCCATGACCTTTGAAGGCCACTTAATGAAAGATGGTCAATTAAAGGTCTTGGTTGGGAGGTGTTGAGAGATGATCAAGTGAAGCTCCTGGTCTTTTTTTTAACAATAACTTCAGATTTCAGAAAAAGAAAGGTTTGAGGGGGAAATTAAGGAAGGAATTTTCTCAATGGACAGATCTAAGCTCTGGGCCCTGACAGTTTTACAATGGTTTTTTACCAGGACTGTTGGGAGATAATCAAGGTTGATTTCATCAAGTTTTCAGGTAATTGCATAGAAGGGGTATAATTAGCTTAGGAATGAACTCAAATTTCATAGCTTTGGTCCCTAAGAAAATTAGAGCTGCTCATCCTAGGGATTCCCAACCTATCGGTCAAGTAACTAGCATTTACAAGATAATTGCCTAGGTTTTATCCCTTAGGGTGAAGAAGGTACTCCCCTCACTTATTTCTCATTTTCAAGGGGCTTTCATTCAGGATAGGCAAATTTTGGATCAGATTTTAATTGCTAATGAGTGTGTCAAGGCCCAGAAAAGATTAAGGAAGAAAGGAATTGTGGTTAAGTTGGATTTGGAGAAAGCCTATGATCTAGTGGATTGAGAATTTTTAATTAATATCATGAGAAGTTGTGGCTTTAACGAGTTGTGGTGTAAATGGATCAAAGGTTGTTTGCAAAGTCGTTATTCAATAGATATCCAAAAAAAAAATCTAGTCAGTACTCAACACTTGTCAATGGTTCAGTTGTTGACTTTTTTTTAAGGGATTTGAGGTCTTAGACTAGGTGATACATTGTCACCGTTCCTTTTTACCTTAGTAGTTGAGGTTCTTAGCAAGTTGATCTCAAGAGCCAATAGCTTGCAGTTGATTAAAGGCTGGTCAGTTGGGAGGGATAGAATTCTGGTAACTCACCTGTAATTTACATCTTAGTTTTCTGTGATGGGAACTTTAGAGATGGAGTGGGAAACTTGAAGTTGGTAGTGAATCTTTTTGAGAGGGTCTCCAATTTTAATACCAGTTGGCATCAATGTTCAGGAAGATAAGTTGGGGATAATGGCAGGTTCTTTGGGTTGTGAGAAAGGGGATTGGCCACATAAATATTTAGGGTTACCTCTAGAATGACAACCCTAGATCACTTAGCTTTTGGAACCCAGTGGTGGAAAAGGTTTGAGAAGAGGTTAGTTGGGTGGAAGTGAAATTAAATTTCTCTGGAGGGAGAATAACTTTGATCAAATCCACCTTAGCTAACCTTCTTGTCTATTATATGTCGGTTTTCAAGATACCCCAAGTTGTGGTGAGAAAAATTGAAAAGATTATGAGAGACTTTTTATGGGAACCTGGGAAGGGAGGAAAGATCATTTGCTTAGATGGGATAAGGTGATGAAACTGAAGGCAAAAGGGGGGTTGGGGATTGGAAATGTTAGAATGAATATTCTGGCCTTATTGAGTAAATGGTTGTGGAGATTCCCAAAGGAAAGTGAAAGACTTCCGCACAAAGTGGTAACAAGTGTTCATGGGTTGTCAAACAATGGTTGGGATGCTGGCCCTCTTCACAGAGCTGCTTTAGCTACTCCTTGGAAAGCCTTCCACGATCTTCTTCCTGTTTTCCTAAGCCACATCAGGTATGACTTGGTCTCGAGCCAAAAAAAATTAGGTTTTGGGAAGATATTTGGATTGGGGAGTCCCCTTTGATGGAGATTTCCCTCCTTTTATGCTCTATCCAATCTTAAAGGTAGACCAATGTCTAAGTTTATCTATCCCCCTCTTTCCCCTTCTGGGTTGAACTAGAACTTGGGCTTCTCTAGGAATCTTAGAGAATCTGAAATCCCCATTGTGTTTGCTTTGCTTATCTTGTTGAATTCTGTGGTTTTAGGAGATTAGGGTGTGGACCCTTAATCCTATTGGGATATTCACTTGTAAGTCTTCGTTTAACTCCTTGTAGCCTCCTTACCTTCCCTTTCTCCTTCTTTCCTTGTTAAAGAAATCTGGTGTCCCCCATTCCTCCTAGAGTCAGTGCTTTCTGTTGGGAAGTGTTTCAGGGTTGCATTAGCAGTGAAACTGCATTTCATCTCTTAATCTCCTGTCCCTTTGTTGGCTTCATTTAGGATTGATTTGCTTCACCTTTTGGTTATAGTTGGCTCCTTCCAGTTAGCTTGGAGGGGTTGTTTAGCCCTTATAATTGCAGTTGTACGAATAGGAGGGGCAGATTGATGTACCAGGGCAGCAGTGGTTTGGACAGTTTTGGAGTAAAGAAATTCAAGAATATTTGGTGAAAAAGAGAGGAATAAGGAAGCCTTGATAGAGGTTATAACCCTAAGAGTGGCACATTGGGTCGAGACCTTGGATCTTTTCTCAGATTTTAAGGTTGATGATTTTTTCAGATCTTGGGGGGCTATAGTTAACTCAGTCTCTAGAAGACAAATAGCAATAGTGGACTGGTCAACTCCATCTAGTGGCTGGTTGAAACTGAATTTCAATAGGAGTTGTGTGGGCAATCCAGAGCCCTCTAGATTTGGAGGGATAATCAAGGATGAGGATGGAAATATGTGTGCTTTCTTCTCAGGTCCATTTGAGCAAGGTGATGTGGCAACAACAGAATTCTTGACAGCTGTTTTTGAAGTTGAGAGAGCCAAAGAGTTGGGTTTTTAAAAAGATTAATTATAGAAGGTGACTTCAAAATAGTTGTGGACTAGCTAAAGAAGGGGGAAGGAGTATCTCAGCACCTAAGGAATGTTCTCAGGCGATTCAAATAGCTCTCTAGGGACATGTCTATTCAAGTTAATTGGGTATAATATCCACCAAGGCACATGGTCTAGCTAAGCAAGGGGTATAGAGACAGACTGAGTTTTGGTCTCAGTTGCAATACTTTGGGGGCTTTAGACACCTGGCATCTACTTGTATCTATCACAACTTCTTGTTGTTCTGCTTTCTTATAATTTTAGTAAAAAAATTCTGAGTTACTGGTCAAAAAAAATGCCCAATATAAACACTTTACCAATTTATGAGAGTCCATGCAACACTGATACACAGAAGGCCACATGCCACCTACTGCAGTTGTCAAGGTGCTAAGGTGACGCTACATGACAGGAAAGCACTTTTTCACCTACAATATGATTTTTTATATAAAATAGCCTTGCTAACTTAGCTTGCTTCTCTAGTTTTTTATGGGTAGTTCGTCTTCCTTGATGATGTAGCAAATACCAAACACTAAAAGTAGAATACAATACAAGCAACATGAGGAACAAGGCAACTCTCAAAAAAGGAAAATGCCTTATAACCAAGGTGCTGTCATCTAGGGCAGCACCTTTACAACTAACTGCACCAATAATAAAGATTCATATGTTTCAAGTTTACAGTAATGTTGTCTAATTCTGACTGAACTAGACAGTTGGAACAGCACAACAGAAGTGGGAACGACCAGCCAAAACAGTTTTTCAGTTGCTTGGTTCTTAGAAATGTTGACTTGGTCAAACTTCTACCATTTACATGGGATAATAATTGTTACACCCTCTAATGTTTATTATCTTAAGCTTATTTTGATGTAAACCACCTTTTGTCTTCAACATATCAGAGATTTGAAGTGGACAATGGAACCATTCAACCCATGGCCCAGCCACCAAAATGATTCTGACTGGTCTATGCCTGACAACATTGGTTTAGGGTAATAAAAGATGTAGAAAGGGGAAAAAGAAGCATCAATTGATGTATTAATACAAAAAACAAGGGCCCATAACTTATAGAAACAAATCTCTATTTCCAACAATATACTGCCATTTTACTGTTCAGAACTTAATTTTCACCAAGAACTGCGATCCATTGTCACTTAATAACCAGACAACACAAACAAAGTTCTGACTATGTCAAAAACGTTGGACAATTTCAATTAATCAATAACTTGAGCTAGCTTAATTAGCATCTAAGATATAACTCCTAGTGAACAATAGCAGCTAGTTTGACTTCCTTACAATCCTGTCCAGTGCACTCTTTGTAAAACTCAAAATGATGTCTACAATATTTGTGGTGTCTACAGAAGATGAGCATTATGGCCGAAATCCCAAAGAGGTCTCAGGGGCTATTTTGGTAATAGCTGAAATGGCTGAATTGAATTGTTTATCACTATTCCTTCTATCAAACTGTTCCTTAGATCAACCCGGAAATCTAAAACTGGATGACTATCTGTTCTACCAATATCAAAGCCAGGATAACCTAAAAGGCTTTCTGCACTGATCTAAAAATAATCAGAACACCTAAACCTAAAACCCTGAAGTTTGGTCTCTTTAATTAATACAACTAAATGAACTAGAAATTCCCTACCAAAATCATCAAACATATGCCAAAGAAAGAGAGAAACAGATAAACATATCGAACCCTATTTTACCAAACCTGCCACAGGCAAGGCACTGAAGAGGCCCTTGCTTCCCGTCCTCCAAATAATTTTTTCTCTGAGAAGCATTCTCATTTAGAGATTTTGCAAACCGAAGAAATGCCTTCTTCAGAGCATTTTCGTCCACGTCAGGATGATTCAGACCCCCATCGTCAGCCGCAGCACCACGTCGTGAATGTATATCCTCAAAATCTCCTCCAGCTCTCATATGTTTTGATGACCTTAAATCATCCATTCCCCTGCCAGAGTCCAATGGAACCCGACGGAAAGGACTACTTGTTCCAGCCAAGAAGTCGGAATTAGAATTGGGGTTCCCGTACAGGGATAGATGCTGTCGTTGCCGTGCAAAATCACCCCTTTCATCCTCATCTGTGTACTTTCTCTTCAACGAACCTTCCAGTGGTGACGGCCCCCGGTCATCCAATCCTAGGTGATTCCAGTAATCCTGCTGCCCACCACGCCCGTACAACTCATTGCGATCACGACGGAGTCCCTCTGGACTCATCGGCCCGACTGGAGGGAAATGCTTATCAAATCCTAACCCTAAACCGCCAGGCTCAGGGCCATGGCCACCAGGTCCTAACGGTAAAAACCTATCAGGTATATCCAATGGCCGAATAGGAGTAGGAAAGTCTTGATAATCCGGTGGCAAGGCAAAGTAAGACCGAACGCTCCCATCAGCCAAAACTATTGTTCGCCGCTCGAGCATGTGAAACCCATAAGCTGGCGGCGGAGGACCGATGGCAGCGGGGTCCGAAAACGATAATGGAGCTCCGGTGGCAGGCCCCGCCGACGGAAAGGGACCCAGTCCGGACGGAGGGATAGGATCGAGAGTGGACTTAGACGGGCCTGGTATGGCGTCCTCCTTAGTAACTGATGAGGGTTTTGCTGATTTGGTATTGCCGGCGGCACCAGGATTGTGATCAGAGTTAGTAGTATTGCCAGATTCCCACCTGGATTTCCGGTTAGACGAGGATGAAGATGACTTGTGGGAGGAACCCTTGGGGTTATTTCCCGCCATCTTCTGGTTGTCTTTCATGCCGTGAGAACTATGGTACACAGGTACAGGATTATGGAGTACTGAGGGATCAGGAGAAAAAGAAAACAAAAGAAAATCGAAGATGAGTTGAAGCAGCGAGATACGTTCGGCGTGGCTTTGAAGCGGAAGGTTGGTTACATTAGGGCAAGAGTGAAGAAGAACGTTGGAAAAGGCATATCGGGATTTCTCCTCACAGTGTGCGTCTCACACCAACCTTACTTAATGTCATTCCGAGAAGACTCTCCAAATGCACGGCTGTTAGGTTAGTAGGATGTACATTTTGTGAGGACTGACTGACTGAGGAGCAAATTGGATTGTGACGGGATCTGCTCCTCACAAATGGGCACCATGCATTGGGAACATCTCCAGTGAATAATAACGCATAAGTACGGAAGATGTTTCCAATGCATGATAGGATGTGCGTATGAGGAGCAGATCTGGTCTCAATTCGATTGTAATGCAAATGGATCGTGCTGGGCTGATAGTCCGCACAAATGACCGGCCCTCGGGCCGTGCGCTCTCCCCTGGGATAACTTAGGGGGTCGGCCCCTCAGGCCATGAAATGGGGCCAAAGCTATTTATTTAAAAAATTAAAAAAAAAACTTTAAAATTTTAATTTTATATGAATTTTGATGTATACAATAATTAAATAAATTAGTATAATAAAATTGAAAATAATTGTTTATTTTATTAATATATAAGTATATTATATATATAAATAATATATATGGGGCATACTACAGGCCAGGCCGCGAGTTGGACTATGCTGGCATGCAGGCTATGGGTGGCACGGCCTGCTCGGTCGTGCCATGTCGGCCTGGCCCATTGACCTAAAACCCCAGGCTTAGCATGGCCCACATGATCGTGTCGGGCTTGGCATAGCCCACAGACCATTATGTCAGGCCATGCCAGGCCGATCCAAATTTGTGTTGGGTCGCAGGCGGTACAACCCGATTTACACCTCTAGGGGCACTTGAGTTGTGGGGCCGGAAACAACACGACCCTATCACCATATACAGTTCCAGCCCCATGCTCGTATTTAGTATATAGTGTAATTGGGGCCATTTATGCTCAATTTCAAGAATAAAAAAGGGAAAATTCTACTTAGTACCCTAAACTTTGGGGTATTGTCTTTCAAACATGTCACTGCAGCGCTCAAACTTTCAAAGAGTGTAAATTTAATTTCTATAGTAAATGGTATGTCATTTATCTTATCAAATGATCACATGTACAACTTCAAATTTTTCAAAATGACAAAACTATGTACAACTTCAAATTTATCACATGATATTATCAAGACCATATTGAAGGATATTCTTCATTTCAGATAGCAACGGGAAACTACTACTACTACGAGGAAGAAAGATAAGAATACTTTGAATCAAAAAGGGTTTTTGTACAGGGCATTCAGGAGATCAAATCAGCCCCCCCACAAAATTGCCCCCTACAGCGTCCCATAGTACATCCCTGTCATGTATTGGGAACATCTCCCGATGATAATACCAAAAATGATGATATCATCACTGAGAGATATTCTTAATACACGACAAGAATATGTTGTGGGACGTTGTGGAGGGTACTCTTGTGGGGGCTGATTTGAACTTGGCATTCAGTGGGTTTAACCCACTGAAAAGGGTCTTTGAATAAAAAAGGGTCTAATGCTTTTGGTGACGATGATGACCAAGTGATATTGGTGGATGCAGTGCACGGGGAGGGTTCGGATGAGAGCTACAAGACCTCATGGCGTTGGACGATGAGGGTGAATTCGAGCTCATCTTCTTCAGGAGACTTGATGAGCTGTTCAACGAGGTGATTAAGTTTTACAAGGCTAAAGTGGAGGAGGTGATGAAGGAGGTTGAGGAGTTGAATGGACAAATTAATACTTTGATTGTCCTCCGGATCATGGTGGAGAATCCAAGTCCAAGTCTTTCCTATGAATCTATTGATTCAATATTGAACTGGGATATGTCTTTGGAAAATACATGACTCTATCCAGAGGTCCTCCATCTGATGAACGTTTGTTGGCGCTCCATGTGCAGTGGTAGAAACCTAGCTAGAAATAGCTAGGTGGGGCCATCGGGCAAGGTGTAGTGATTGGTACACCGTACATGTTAGATGAATAGGGGAACGCAGCCTGGTGTAGCAAATAATCAAAAGCAAGTTAGATACCATAGGTGAAGGGCATTTTTGTCCTTTTATATAATATTTAACTCAGTTTTGGACCGACTTGACACCTTTTGAAATTTGAGTATTACAATGACGCATTTGAAAGTTCAGGTATTAACTTGACACTACCCCGAAGTTCAAGGTACTAAAGTATAATTTTCCCAATAAAAATGGGTTCCCACTCCTCAATCCCCACAAAGGTTGTGTTTGGTTTCACTATTGTTTCTACCTGAAACGTCTTGAGCCGTTCAATATAAGTTGACATATAATTGTTACTTGAGGCTATTTATGGTTAGGGTTCTAATCTGATCCGAATTTTGATCCAATTATTGAAAAATTGTACCTGAATCCGATTTAAAAGCCAGGGACTCAAATAACGGATGGCTTTGACAAACCTCTAATCCATTACCACCATGTTTTCAACTATAAAAGAAGGTTATGCACATTAACCAACCACCAAAAGAACAATAGTGTATTAGAGCCAAAGGGACACATTACATAGTCGAAGTAACTACTAACATTCAAAGTAACAAGATTCCTCTTTGGCTATGAATTAGGAAGAGAGAAAGCAAAAGCTCATGCTTCAAAATGGTATTAAGACAATTCAGAACAATTTGAAGTAAATGGGCATCACTTAATCAAAAAGGTAAAAGTTTGAAAACTATAAAGCTTGAAGCAATAGATCAAATGTTGAGAAATTAGCTTTTATTCTCTTCAAAAGGTAAAAGAGGTCCATAAAAGGGAAAATAAATGAGGGTATGTTTAAGTACGGGGTCAGCTCATAACGTATATTTAAGTCTATTTGAAAAATTGAGGGTATGTTTAAGTCAATTAATAAAAACTTGGGGTATGTTTAAATCTTTAACTTTATAATAAATTAATATAAGTATAACATGTCGAACTTATTATATATAAATGTATATAATATATTTTTATAACTTTAAATATAATTTTAGAAAATTTGTATATTAGAATCAATAAAATATTGTAATATAATTGGATTTGGATTTTAATTGGATTGAATGGAGTCAAATCCAAATTTGATATGATTATGAATCAAATACAAATTGCAAAATCCAAATATGATCCATTTACATAAACACATAATTTGAATCTAAAATAATCAAATCAAATGTTCGATCGGGCCTTACGGGCATCATTAGCATACCTAGTTATGGTTGAAATGGTCATATCTTAAAAATGCACTGTGTGAGGATGTTCGGAGAAATACAAAATTGAAGTTTCTTACTCCAAGGGCAAAGCCTAATTATTCTAACTAAAGTAACTCTCAAATGTGGTATGATAACACATATCTCACACCAATTTGTATTGATTAACCCAAAACATTTCAGGTAAAAACAGCAATGGTACCAAACGCATCATAAAATTAATGGTGAAACCCAAGTCAATTTAATCCATGGCTTTTAACCAGCTTATCCTCTTCATTGAGTTCAACTATGGTGCATTAATTAATATTGGTTGCATGTTAAATTATATATCTCAACTAATCACGTTAAAGTTTGTTTATTTTTCATTGGTTCAATTTTTATTAAGGTGTACATTCTCATTTAATGAACTGTATTTGCCATTATATTCAATCAACCACATCTTTTATTGCACAATGCGCCCTATGTATCATATATTTTTCCATGAACATATGATCATTATTTAGCTTCATTATGCATGATAGATTTTTTCATGAACATATGATCATTATTAAGCCTTGTTCGTTGTCAAATAAGATATCCATTTAAGTGCATTTACTTGTATTATTTTTTACTCGGTTAAGTTTTCTCTAATATACCCTTTTATATCATTGTACCTTTTGTTTTAAAACATGTTTAATGGGCATTTTGTCTCATTGATTTTAACATTTTCAAACCACCGACTTTGGTGGGGGACATTCCAAATTAGTATCCTATGCTTTAGGGGTTATCTCAGTTTAGTACCCGAACTTCAATGCCACTATAGTACCTAAACTCTCAAAAACTATCAATTTAGTCCCTGTCGTTAGCAATGGATCAATTATATGTATCATGTGATGATATGTGCAACTTAATACTTTTAAAGATGTCAAAACTATCATTTAAAAGAAGACACTATACATTGGCTTCTACCTTATGACTAAACCATAATAGACACTGATTCATTGGCTACCTCCTCTTCCACAATCTTTGCCCTTGTCTCTACCCTTGTCTCTGCCACATGATCCCCAACTCACTAAACATGAGTCTAGAAAAGCCAAACGAACTCATAAACATTTAAAAAAAAAACTGAATCTAGTGCTATGAAGCCACCACTTATGTATCCGTCTTGATAGGAATTCTTGTGTGAACAATTCTTCTTGCAAAGCAAGCTAACTACACACATCCTTCAACTTTGTAGGCAATGAAACAAAGTTCCTTATGAAACTCTTTTTCTTCTTGTTGAGATCCCTCAATAGAGGATCCAAGTCTCAGGTAGACACTAAGGGCTTCTTGGAAATCTTCATCATCACATCATCCACAAGAACTGAAATAAGATGCTTCGGATCAACTGGTCCAGAGTTTCTTCTAGCGCAACTCTATTATCAACTTCCAGGACCAACCAAATACACGAGGTATGTTAATGCTCTAAGCATAAGCCCACTTTGTTTCAAACTTAAGAATCAGTCACCTTAGTGCATTGAAGGCTTTCCTTATCTGTACGTTGAAATGATCAATTTTGTTTAAGTTGGGTTATGGGGGAGTGGTAAATAAATAAAATTAGATGAGACATTGAGGGTATTTTTGTCATTTCACATGCCACTTAATGTCGGTTGACGATTTGGTATGTGTTTGGTTTTGTTTACGTTTATTGAGTAAACGCTACCACATAGGCGCCCCATCAGCAAAGCCCTCATTATGTGCATCTATATGTTTCTGTGCGCCTCTCTTGTTTCAGGAAGCTTCAATTTGGAGCTTCATGAAACGGGTAGGTGTTTATTGACACTTTGCTGATGTGGTGCCTAATGGCGCCTATGTGTCATAAGCACCCCGATTAATTGCTTTTCTCGATTTTGCAACCACACAAGTATAAAACGT